TAAAGGGGATGGACTGGAAAGCATCGTGGTGGAGAAAGCTCCTGGTGGCCGTCTGCCTTAGCTGCTTATGCAGCTGTTTTTCTCTGGAGCCTTTCCAGGGGAACAGTCACCTCTGTTCCAGAAAATGTGTTGTTTCGTGTCTGTCTCGTGTTGCAGTGCATTAAGCCCTATCACCAGTAAGCACTTGACCAAATCCATGTAGGATGTGGCCCTCTGGAATGAGCCAAATTAGTCCTTCGTGCACCCCTGTCACTCTGGATGCTGCACAAAGGTCTGGGCTGGTGTGAAAGTTGTCTTCTCTCGTCGTCCCGGATCTGCTGACATTCATGGAAATGAACCTTTGCCATGGAAAAGCAAAGCACTGTCCCTCTGTGTCCTACAGGCAGAGCCTCCTGTCACTGGGTGGGGCGGCCCACAGCTCATCAGGGTCTTGGTGGCTTGTGGGGAAAGCCACCCCTTTCTGGGAGCATGATCCATGCCTGTAGGTTGACTTCCAGTTGATGGTTTGGCTAAAGGCAGTTCAGTAACCTGGGCAGATGGGTTTTGCTGTTTTTTCACCACTCTGTGTGTGTGTCCATTTCCACTGAAGAGTAGCAGTAATGCTTCTGGCTCGGCATGCCAATAGGACAACAAAGGGTGTGCCTGTGTCTGTCCAGCTGTTGTTGAGCTGGAGGCTAAAAATAATCCCCTCATTTGCACCTCCAGAAGAGCTGAAAGGCGGAAATAAGGAAATAGTGGATTTCAGGAGTGATTGAAGCTTCTGTCTTTATCCCAAGGACATACATGGGGGTGATCATCATTTAACACCCCTTTATTTTCCAAGATTAATTTAATATTTGGGTACCTTGTGCAGGAGAGGAGTGAAGGGTTTAGAGTGGGATGACAGCAGTGGGATAATGCACTGGGCCACAACAGGATTTGTCTGCTCTTAGCTGTGCCAAGAGATGCTGTTTGTTGCATCCCCCACCCCCATGCTACTATCAAGTGGTAGATTCTTTGAGCATCTAAATGCTGAGAGATAATGGTTTTTTACTTTTTTCAAGGTCAATGAGTAGATTCAGCCTTTCGGTTATAGTGGATGAGATTTTTGTGACTAGGTTGCTGTGGAGTGTTATTTTGAAGTAGGGTTTTTTGTCCTTTTTGTTGGTGTTGTGGGGATTTTTTGTTTGTTGGTTTGGGATTTTTTTTTTCTTTAAACACAGTGGAGGTGTTCAGCTGTTAAACTGCATATGATTTTTCCAGAATGAGATGAGGGTGCCTAGATTCACAGGCTGCTGATTTAATAGCAGAGTGGGGGGAGGAAAGGAGGGATTGCAAGAGGCCTCTACATTGTATCCCTCTCCCCTTCCTCCCCTCTTATTTTGAGTCATATATTTCTACATTATATACAGGAGATCATATCAAAATCCTGTGCCCGGCACAGAAGCCATTCTGCTATTGGAGAGGTGACTTGTGCTACCATTTAGCTCAGTGCTGGGAATATTTCCTGGAGATTTTCAAGGCGCTGCCGTTCCTAAACATATTCAGAGAGAGAAAGTAGCACCTCTTACAGTCAGACTGACCCTTGAGTGGAATCAAACTTATGAGACTTACCAAAGCTGTGTGTGTTTATATTAGTAAATATAAGTGAAAATTTCTGATACACTTAAATCACACAAAGAAGAAATCAGCGAAGTTCTGTTCTATTTCTGTCTGAAGATAAGTAATGCATTGTGTACTGTGCTTGGTTGTAGTGTGGGACAAGATTTATACTAAAAAAAACCATCTTTTAGGGAATAGTACAATACTTTTTAACAGTATCATAGAAACAGACTATTTACTCAGCAACTTGAATAAACAACTTTTATAAAATATGCATGGGCTTATTAGTGTTTTATTGTGAAGTGCAAAAATGTCCATGCTTTACTTCTTAAGTATGAATTCAAACTGTAATAATCACTAGGCAACTATTACTGGCCTGGAAACTTGCATTAGTCTCATTCAATGGGAATTTTGCCACCCATATTCTTTCTGTACTTTTGCCGTAACATAGGTGCTGTTCTTGAGGAACATGTTAAATTCAATGAAGCTTCTCTTTTGAAAGAAAATATTCACGTACATCTGCAGGCAGAAGATCAGCCATTTGCACTAAGAGGTTTTCACCAAGAAAAATGTCTTCTCTTGCTATTATTATCTTGCACTAACGTGGTATACTCTCATCTTATACAAGATGTAACATCCAACATGATATTGATTCTTTGGGCAGGTCATAGAAGTCTGGTCATGATCTTATTCTTTCATAAGCTGCCCTGTAAAGCTAAACAAGACTTTCCCCCTTAGTTTCCAGCTTGAGCAAGAAATATGCAAAAGCTCTTTGTTCCTTTCCAAGTAACAGTTGGAACTTTCAGCAACTGTTACTTGGAATAACTTGTAGGAGATGCTTTGAAAAGTGAAGTTGTCCTTTAGCTTTGTAGGGGATGATCTGGCGCTGTTAAAAGGCAGTCGATGTGTGAATGGTGATGGGCATGTCAAGAGGCCGTTGGCATTTGTTCATTCAGGATTGATTGTTTGAGACTCCCTTATGTGATGCCAGCTGTCATGATCTGTGTTAAATTGCAAGAAATTAGTTCCAAAACCAGGCCCCAATGAGCCAGGAGACTGGAATAACGGGAGGGGAAAATAGGATGCCATTCAAAGTCTGGCTGCAGGAAGGTTTCTTCTGGGAGTCTGTTGGCAAGCAGATCATCGGGGAGTGGCATGGGCCCTTTGCTTGCTTAATAAAGATAGGAACACAAATGTAGTAAGAATTGCTTTTGCGAGGATTTTGTACTGGTTTTGACCCCAGAAGTTTCAAAATTAAATGAAGAAGTGCCAAGAGTAAGTTCCACACCAGCAGGAAGCATCCTCAATAAATCATAGAACAAATAGCTCTGTGATGAAGATAAATGTGTTTCTGGAGGTAACCATGGGTGGTGGCAAACATACAACCATTTTTCATGGTGTCTCTATGCAATTATGAAGATACTTTGTCAATGTGATAGGAGGAGGGGAGAGGGCAGAATCCTCCTTAAAATGCTAACACAGTGTGTTGCAAAGCACCAGGAGGAACGAAGGATTTCTGTGTGGGTTTTGTTACTTGGCAGGGTCTGCTATGACTAAATCTCCAAAGACTGCTGTTTCTTTTTTATTTTCTTTAAAGTTGCATTTATTTTTGTATAATACAGCTTGGAGGCAAAAAAAACCCCAAAACAACCAAACAAAAAAACAAACAGCCTCACCTTATCAGACCGTGTATGGGCTTTATTGGTAAAATGTTTCTGACTGCCTGCTCAACATGACTGGAAGCTGTCAAGGCTCAGTTGAATCACTCACTTGTCAGAGCTCAGAGTTCCCATGCTAATCTCAAGAAGCATGTGCAAAAAGTCTGACTCAGATCCACCAGTGATCCTCTTCAGCTGGGCTACATGTACCCTCTATATTCTTCCTTTATATTGTTACATCTGTTGATTTTTTTTTTAAATATTCGTCATGCAGTGAGGAGTGTTCTTCTGAAATTGTGCATTAAATATGTTCTTTTAAGAGGAACAAAGCCAAGTGACTAAGGCAACAGCCTAACTTTAATATCTCTGGTTAACAAAACACCTAAAGTGAAGCCAAAGCAACTCACAGGAGTTTTTCTTTCAATGAGAATTTATTTGAATTATTTATTAAATTGAAAAAAGACATTTTTGCACTTCTGTGATTTGGGTTGGACAAAAGTCAGCACCAGATACTTTTTGCTCAAGTTGTTATATCTGAAAACAAATGATGACCAAACCAAAATAAATAAATGACTCTACTTTCTGAAATTGCAACGTAATGGGAACCAGACTGGAATCCAGCAAACCTGCAGATAGAGCCCGTGCTTGCTTTGAAACTGCAGTCAGTGTCTGGCTCTGTGTGTGGGACGCACAGGAGCGTGTCTGGCCTCTGACACAATGGTCTTGGATTTGCAGCACGGCCCAGCTTGGCTGTGCTGCAGCTTTCCTGTCCTCCCAGACCCACCTTAGCTCTCCCTGCTCCAGCCGTGGCAGAGCTGGAACTCACGGCATGGATTTTGTGAAATCTGGGGGGGTTTGGAGGGGTGGAGGGGGTTCATAGGAGGTATGTAACAACAGCATTGTCCAGCTGTAAGACTGTTTCTAATCAGTGTTTTAGTAATCAGTCAAGGAAATGTAAGCACTAGATATACTTGGGGTTTAATTAGTTTGCTTTCTGGAAATGCTTTCCTTGTTGGTCTATGAAAAATTACAGCTGTCAACTAAAATTTGGGCAGGAATCCTCTGTAATTGTTTTGGAAGCGATTCTTCCAGGGGTCCCCAAACTTAGATTTAAGCTTCTGAAGTGTGAGTTTCCTGAAAGTGAAGATGTTTAGCACTGGGTGAAATGGAATAGGACAGGATAAGTTCCCTGGCAGAGGAGGGCAGGTCTGCTGAGTTCCCTTGGCTTGTCCTCCTTACATCAGTAGGTGAACCAGGCTGTTACATCCACCCTCACTTCAAAGAGAGCAGTTAATAGCATAAGGCTGCTGGCTTATTGGTTTGTTCAACAAATCTAGTAAATGTACGCCCATTTCCTCTTTAAAATAAAAAAAGCCTATACTAAGACCACTTATTTCTTCTCCCCTCCCTTTTACACAACTGTAATGCTGTTGAGAAACAGCTGCAAGCACTTGAGAAATGCTAAATGGGGGCTAGAAATGTGCAAGCAGATGCTCAAAAAAGTTTAGCGTTTTGCTGTTTTTTCTCTTACCTCTCTTCATCAGATGCTTTTGTGTCTGCATTAAGCACAATTTATCCTCTTTTTTAAATAGGCTGAACACCACATGCAAAAAAAAATTTTCGTTGATTTAAGTAAATTACTTGTTTTTGCTCTCAGTAGTGCAAGTCCAGTTGTATTTCAAGTAATACCAATAGAGTAAGTAGGAAACTGTGTGGAAGTAACACAAACCCCTGTGTCACACTCCTCCTTTTCTCTGCCAGTGTTTAATTATTGGAGGTGGCCCTTGTGGCCTGCGGACTGCCATAGAACTTGCCTTCCTGGGAGCCAAGGTTGTCGTTGTGGAGAAGCGGGACACTTTCTCAAGGAACAATGTGCTGCATCTCTGGCCCTTTACCATCCATGACCTTCGGGGACTGGGAGCAAAGAAATTTTATGGAAAGTTCTGTGCAGGATCTATTGACCATATCAGTAAGTATCTGAGGGCACGGGCACTGTTCGGATAAGGGGTTAGCAGGATCAGAAGATTGGCAGAGACGTTCTTGGTTTGGCAGAAAGTTCATCTGCCTTAACCATGTGCCAGTGCATTTGTGCACACAGAGAGGGGAAACAATGGTCTCATTTAAGCAAGGTGGAAAGAGAACAAGTTAAAGACTTATGGAGCAGATTTTTTTGTTAGTCTGGTATGGTTAAGCAACAGGTTTTGATTATGAGGTATAAAGGATATTGGTATTTATTCCAGTATGTTGAAGGTAGACACAAATAACAGAGTGGAGTATTTTACAGGGAAATGTGCTGTAAAATTTTGTATTCTAAAACATGCTGGTTAGCAGATCTTTTAAATGTCATCAAGAGGCAGACCTCTACAAAAGCATTCTAAGAAACTCGGCTGAAATGAGTTTTGCCAACAAGATTGTGCTGCAAGAGGAAAAGGAGGCGGAAGACAACAACATCCTGTGGTGGTTGCTATGTTTGCATTCATTACAGTATGGGAAATAGAAATGCTACACACTTGTGTTAACAATGAATTTCAGCTCTCTAGCAGGCTGGTGGCAGCTGGGGTTGCTTACTTATCAAACACATCTTTGTCACTTGCTCTCCACAGGTATTCGACAGCTTCAACTCATCCTCTTCAAAGTTGCACTTATCCTTGGAGTGGAAATTCACGTGAACCTGGAATTTGTGAAAGTCCTGGAGCCTCCTGAAGATCAAGAAAACCAAAGTATTATTTATCATAATACAGTTCTGTTCACAGCAACTTCTTTTTGTGCTAGGTGTTACATGAAGTTGTACAAGGCAGTCAAACACTGTTTAAGGAAATAAAGAGTTTTTTGCCCTTTTCATTCAGCCAGCCTTGTTCTGTGCAGTTACAGGCGTGATAAGTATCAGTGTGACAGAGCACTGATAAATCTTAGAACACAACCCAGGCTGAGAAGCTGAGGTTTTGCACTATGCCTTCTGGCATGGGTTTGAGGCTTTGTAGGGAGTCTGGTGTGGCTTCTCGGGATCTTCTTGCAAAAACAGATTTTGATTGATAATATAAATATTGAGGATGGATTAAGTGCCCAGGGCCTCATTTTGTGTTCACATTTGATATAACTCCCACTGGCACACAGACTCTTACCAGCATTCTTATGCAAGAATTTTTAAACAATAGAAAAAGATTCCTAATTTTCTTTCTTTTTTTTATGTTAGTTTTTAGGATGTAATATCACTAAAATATTTAAGAATTTTAATTAAAACTCTGTGATATCTCTTTAAAGGGGCAGACAGCAGACAGGTATGTTAGTTTAAGTAGTTAAAGTATATATAATTTTAAAACATGGACAGTACAAACACTTTCACATAATCAGCTTTGTAAAAAGATTAAATTTAGCTTTTTGAGTATGCTTCCATTTAGTTTCTATTTAGAAGGCAATTAAAAGCGCTGATCATGGAATGTTATTTTTCCTCTTTTAGTAGCCAGCTCTTCCTTGCAGTAACCACATGTATGTACTGCCTTGGCAAGGTGGCTGTGGGATTATTTCTGTGAGAATCAAGTGCTTGATCATCTTCTTGTGGTGTGGCTCTGAGAGGAAGTTACTGCATTAGGTGATCCAGGGAATGAGAAATGCACCCTTTATCTCAGTGCCCTTTCCTCAGACTCTGAATTCACTTCTCCATTGTAATATTGAAGAATTAATAAATATCGTTTGTGTTTTCAGAGATGGGTTGGAGGGCTGAATTTCTCCCCATGGATCACCCTTTGTCAGAGTATGAATTTGATGTTATCATTGGTGCAGATGGCCGCAGGAACACATTAGAAGGTGGGTGAATGTGTGTTTTTAGCCTTACTGGTGGTCTTTAGGGTACCTTGAAAGATCTGAAAGTCAGAGGAGAACACAAAGCAGCAGGTTATCTTTCAATCCATGGAAGTCTGTGTGAAAGCTTTTATTTTATGTGGTACCTTTTGGTTTTGTTGTTAAGTCGTAGCTCAAAATAAAAGACATTTAATGTCATTACTGCTTCTGAGCTGTGTGTATTTGCACTGCCTACAGAATGCATTGTGGTGCCACTGGGCTTGCTTCAAGGTTAAGTAATTATATGATGATTTAACTTGAAGGAAGCTGACAAAATACATGTCAGGAATGGCATAGCCTTTGCTGTTGTGCTGTGAATTTGCCCTGTGTGCTTGAACTCATGACCAAAAGGTGACTGCCAGGTATTTAATGAAGGCAGCAGAGGCTTTGCTTCTTTGTAAATGAGACTGAACTTCAGAAGCAGCTAGTTTAGAAACAATAGCAGAAGATAATAAATAGCTCTGAGATGTGTGGGAGTAGAGGGTGTAAATGTTTCCTGAACTTGAGTCACTGCTGGGAATTCAAACCACCTGAGCTGTGTTTCTTAGAGAGACACTGGCTAAGCTGCTCCTGCATCACAGGAACAAACCTTTTACTTAATTATGTATTTCCCTTTTAACTCTAATTATATCCAAGCTAGTTTCCATTCTCTAAGTACTCTTTCCCCCTTTTTTTATTAGCTTCATAGTTTGTCTCCTTATTCTTTTATCTGCCAACTACAATGTGCTTACAGTTAATTCCTTATAATGCTGTACTGGAAATTTCCCTACGCTGTTGTCTGGCTGTCCCTCATAAAAGACTGTTTAAATAGTCAGGCACCAGCAAAACCTAATTATTCTTACGTCACCTGAAGACTCCATCAAGAGGTTAATGTTTATCATCATACCAGGATCTAGGGGAGTGATTGGTGCACTGAAGATATGCACAGAAACTGGTGTTGTCATATCAAATCTATCCCAATGAAATAACGAGAGCATATCAAGAAGCACAGAGACAAAAATCCATAACCAATTTATTTCGTGTTCTAAAATAACATATTCATATGATGTCATCTGCAGTGGGCCAAAAATACACTAAAGATCCTCTGTCCTACTTCATACTTTAATTACAGATGAGGGGAACATACAGATGGAAAAACTTCAATGTGTGATTGCAAGATTGTGGCTCAGGGGGCTTTTTTCAGTGAAAAGTGAAAGCAGAGATGAGCGAGGAGCTTCTCAGTTGGTCTCACCTTGGAAATATAGTAATTAAGCCGCTGAATATTTTTCAATCCCAAGTACCTGTGAAAAATCTCCGTAACTGGTAGTGTGTGCACCTAAGCACTGCTACACACTGTTTTTATTTTTCACATCATTCTCTGCTGCTTTTGACTGCTGATCTCTTGTATCTTTTTTCAAGAGCTGTTTTACCACCTCTGTAACAAATACCTAACTTGCCATTTAGCATGTTAAAAATGTCTCCCTCCACTGAAATTGACCTGTTCTATTCCCAGACACATAAAAAAAAATTTCCATGTTTTTCTTTAGTTATAGTTTTTCCTGAACTTCTTCCCTTAGTTCCCCACCCAACCATTTTTTAATGAGACTTTATCTTGAATGCAGTGCATCTTTAGTTTTGCAGCTGAAAATGGGGAGAAAAGACTCTTTACATTTAAGGGAATTTTGGAGGAATGGTGGAATCTACTGATGGTGTGTTGTTTGAAGAAGTGCAGGGGAGACACTGAGCTGCCTTGAGCTGACCCTCCCTGAAAGTCCAGTCTGAAGTCTGCAGTGGTTTTAATTCCTGTCTTTGCTCACCAGGCTTCAGGAGGAAGGAATTTCGTGGAAAGCTGGCTATAGCGATCACTGCCAATTTTATAAACAGAAATACAACTGCAGAAGCCAAGGTAGAAGAAATTAGTGGGGTTGCTTTCATCTTCAATCAGAAGTTCTTCCAGGACCTGAAAGAGGAAACGGGTGGGTGCATTCTCATTTTTTTCCACTACCAAATACAAGAGGCAGCAGGGGAACTCTATGTGCCAGGCCACCCTCTTGTTACTGGTAACATCAGTTTTGAATAAACTGTGTAAAAAAATTTCCAAGTGATAAAATATTGTTGATGTCAGAAGCTTGCAGATGGAGGTGTCCATTTATGGTACAGTGGGATATTTTTTTAGCTTGGGTGTTGCCACATCATGTCTTGTTTTAGTGTTTAAATTTTTCTCAACTGCAAAAATGTCTGCTATGTTGAACAAATTTGGAAGAGCATTTTCAGGGCCCAGAGATTTTCCCTTAAGACATGATTTGTTTTGTTTCTATCTGTTCACATGCTGAACAGCTTAAACCCTTTGAAAAAGTCTCTGCCCTTCTGGGAGGAGTTCATTCTTTCTTTTTGATGTGTGGAGCTGATAAACTGAGAAGACCTAGAATCTGCCATAAACACTAAAAATATAAACTGTGAAACACATCTTAATTGAAAGGGATTTCAGAATAGTTGCATTCACTGTCAGTTCAGTCAACTCTATTCTTGATTTACAGCTGATTTTTTAAAAAATTACTATTATAATTGAAACCATACCCCCTGGTTAGACACAATGCCAGAGCCCTAGCAACCCAAAAAACACTTTGCTCCCTTGGCACCCAGTTCTACCTCAGGAACTATTAATGCTGCAGTTAACTAGCAGTTCCCTGAAAGAATGCTGAATAACTTCAAACTGTGCTGAGAAAAACTCCTGTTGGGCGAGAGCACTCTCCTCTCTTGTTGTGTTTCCTAGCATTCTGCCCACTAATCCTTCATCCCAGCTGGGAGAGTGGATGCATCCCAAGAAGGAAAGGCACCTGCCGGGATCAGTCCTGGGCCGTTGGTAAATGGCATAGGCAGGGCGCTGCATTTGGTGACAAATGTGTCTCTCTTTTCAGGGATTGACCTGGAGAATATTGTTTACTATAAAGACAGCACGCATTATTTTGTGATGACAGCAAAAAAGCAGAGTCTTCTGGACAAAGGAGTGATTATTAACGTATGTAAAAATGCTGGTTAAACCCTGTTTTATTTACTTGGCACAGAGTAAATGTGAACATCTGTATAAACGTTGCTGGATGTTAGTGAGGGTGTTTATAGACTTAATCACTTCATTCAAGCTCAGGTTACTTGGATCTTACTCTGACATTTTTAGGATTTGCTTTTCCCTTTAGTCTGCTCAAAGTTTCAACAGAGAACTGAAAACAATACTTCCTAAATTAATCAATTTTGAAACTGGCTGAAATGGGATCTTGACTCACCTTGGAAATACGTGGTGGGATTGTCGCAGCAGAACAGAAAAACCTCAGTTATTTAAGGGTGAACTTAGCACAGCTATGTTCAGTTTTATCAGGCAAATAAGAAAGTGTAAAAACCTACCCTAGGTTAAATTGCAAATTCTTTAAAGTGGCTGAAACATGATAGAAGTAGTCTATAAACATGATGGCCTGACCTTTCAGGGGTACTTGCGATTTTGAGGTATTTTTTTCTTTTTCTTTTTTTTTTTGGTCTTCTTATGTAAAATATAGGGTTTATTTTCTTTTGTTTGTAGGAAGTGTTATGGCACCACTTAAGTTTCCCTTTCTGGAAGCCCAGAAGTGTTCAATATTTCTTGGAAAGTAAGGCAGTGCCAAAATAGCCAAGTATAATTTCCTGAAGGAAGTACCTGTGGGGAACTGTCAGAAGGGCTTTTGGCTTTCTGATGAGACCACTCAACTCAGTGCCATGATTCCCTGCCCTTTTGGAGGCCAGGGGCTCCCAGGGCAGAGCTGCTTTCCACGACCAACCTGGTGGGAGAGAGGAAGGGTGGAACCCCTTGTGGGGAGTGGCTGGTGTGTGCTGAGGTTGTGGGGCTGGTGTTTGCAGGTGAGGGCAGTCCCAGGGGGTCTGTGGGGAGTTTGGAGCAGAGGAGCAGCAGCTGTGGGTCATCAGAGCTGTTTTCCTGACCTACTCACCTCCGAGTGGAAAAAAATCAACCACCCCGGTGTGTCTGGTGCAACTGGGCTAATAGCGGTTCTGTGGTATCAGCTGTGATTAGGGGTCTCATCCACGATTAGCCTGGAAATACAACCTGCCTCATTAATAACCATTGCCTTTAAGTAGGATGACCTGTAAAGGCAGGGTCCTTTACCACTGTGCCCAAGGAAAAACCCAGCCCAAAAATGAACAGAAAAGCTGCTATAGCCCAGGTTTAAATGTGGTGTTGTTGCTGAGATGTCGAGTCAAGCCTTGAGGCTGAGCCTCCCATGTTACAGCATCAGTGTTTCTGCTCTCCTGTGGTTTCAGATGTGGGGTGCACGTGTGCAGAAAAGCATTGCAGTGATGTGGATGACGTCTTTTGATGTGAGGGAAGTAATGCTCTGAAAACATCACATAACCAAGGAGGGGCTGTAACCTTCTATTGCAAACAAAGCTGCTTGTTCAGTGTGGGCAAGGAGAGTTTCAGTTTGGGGCAGTACCTGTGTTTGTGCATTGGCTTTTTGAAGGAGATGACAAGTGTCACTTGTTTCTTGTTGCTGTGAGATATGTAGCTCCCTGTCCTGCTGTGAGACTGCAGTGTTCCAATTCAGAGAGGATATTGGAGTTTCTTATCCCACGTCCTTTTCTCCTTGCAGGACTCCATTGATACTGAGCTGCTGCTCTGTGGGGAAAATGTGAACCAGAGCAATTTGCTGTCCTACGCCAGAGAAGCTGCTGACTTTGCAACCAACTACCAGCTGCCTTCCTTGGATTTTGCAATTAATCATTATGGCCAACCAGATGTAGCAATGTTTGATTTTACCTCCATGTATGCATCTGAAAACGCTGCGCTGGTGAGAGAGAGGCACAGACATCAGCTCCTGGTGGCTCTCGTTGGAGATAGTTTGCTTGAGGTATATCTTGGAATGCCTTCCAAGTAGTATTTTCAGGTTTTTTATTTTATTTCCTTAATCCAACTATTCAATCTAGCCTCCAATATAAAATGTTCTCTTTTACATGTCCTGAAACAGTGGTACCTTCTTTGGATTAGATTTTTTCCCCCCTTTTTTCTTTTCTCCTTTATTATGCCATAGTTTGTCACAACTAATGCTTGGCTGACAGCCTGTGGCCGAGATCCCATTTTGCTTTATTCAAGTTGTGTTTCTGTCTGAAAACTGTGAGCTCCGTGTCCTCAGCTTGGGTGCATGGCATAATTTTACTGAATTCCATCATAGACAAAAACTTGATCCAAATTATTATTGCAGTCTCTTTGCCTTAGTGTGTGCCCTTTTTTTTTTCTTTCTGAAGTGAAAAGTGTATGCTGCAACTTTTTTTTTTTTTTTTTTTTTTTTAATTCATACTGACAAGCCTGAGGCATTTGCAAAGAACAGTCCAAAGCAAATTTAGGAGGTGAAAAGGGCATCTTTTTTTTTCCCTTTTTTTCCTGTAATAATTCTTGAGTCTTCTTTTTTTTCCTCAGCCTTTACCTTTTGGGACTAAGAAATTTGTTTTTATATATAGAAGTTAAAAAAAAGGAAAAAGTGAAAAAGTAATGTTTTCTCCCTGCCTAAGACTTAAAGGAGAGGCACATTTAAAACCTGCAAGTGTTGCCCGTGTTGCATTTTGACTCTTTCTGGGCTATTTTTCCATGACAGTATGAAACCCTGGAGTCCAAATTTGCATTGAAAGTTATTTTTGCGGTAAAAACTTCAGAAGTGCAGAGAATTGAAGTGTAAATGCTTCTTGCAGCCGTTCTGGCCGATGGGTACTGGCTGTGCGAGAGGCTTCCTGGCTGCCTTTGACACCGCGTGGATGGTGCGGAGCTGGGCGCAGGGGAAGCCCCCGCTGGAGATCCTGGCTGAACGGTGAGTGCTGCTTTGGGCCCCAGCATTTCCAGTGTTCTAAAGAGCCACAGCAGTGCTGGAAGGCAGTGGATTTCAGAATGCTATCAGGAGAAATATTGTTAGGGTTTAAATCACTGATTTATGTCACTTAAGTGTGATCCTTAAAGAAACAGACCAAAGAGACCTTTTATCAAAAATCCCAAACCTCCAGCCATCTCAACACCTGGTTTTTTATAATTTTAAAAAAAAAGTTCAGAAAGGAGTCTAAACAAATTCTTCAGCAGTAACAGACTTCAGAGTTGGTCTCTCTGATTTTAACTCTGCATTTTGGTTTAATGGTGCTCTCTTTAGGCTGATAAGCATGTGGAGAATTGTTATAATGCTGCATCAGAAACTTTTTTTTACTGGAGCAAGAAAATCTGTGGCTAAGTACAGCAGCAGTCTTGGTGTCACCATGGTCTGATGGTTGAAGTTGCTGACTTAGGTCCTGCTGGCAGCCACCCTCCTCTGCTACAGCTGCCCAGGCTGTTTTGGGGCAGATACATAATAGGGAGAGTCATGGTTGTGGGAATGCAAGCAGGAGCTTTACTAACTGCAGCACTTTGGAAATGTTTAAGATAGAAGCCTGTGGGATGACTCAACCACGGCCTAGTCCCAAGTGGAAAATTGAACAGCATAGAAAAAAAACTGTGGTGGTTATCGGAATTGCAGGATGACAGGATTTAGTGCTGTTATGTGGTAAAGAAGTTACTTCTTTAGTAGATGTTAAAGCAAAACCAGATGACTAGATGATGTAACCTCCTTTTTTTTTTCTTCCTTTTTCTTGCTCACTTCCTGCCTCAGGAAAATATGGGCATAAGCTCTAAGTGTCCGTCTTGTCCTTTTTCTGTCTGGCATCCTTCTGTTGAGTGGGGATAAGAAATGGGATGAATGCATTATGCATTTGGTCTGTAACACTTGTCCTGGCAGAACCAAAATAAGGTTTAGGTAGCTGCAAAAAACCCCGATCCCTTATAAATAAATATTTATTTTAATACGTAACTCTTGCATCTTTTTCCTCTGCAAGAGAGAGCATTTATCGACTCTTGCCTCAGACGACCCCTGAAAATATTAATAAGAACTTTGACCAGTACACCATTGACCCAGGAACAAGATACCCGAACTTGAACTCGAGCTGTGTTCGACCTCACCAGGTCAGTACTTAAAAGGCTTGCTTGTGAAATCAGTTCTTTTTTTATCAAGGGTAAATAGAGCTGCAAGGAGTGTGTAAACAAAATCTTCAGGAGACTCCTTAATTTAGAGCCAGCTGCTGATAAAGTTAACCTGGAAACAAAACTGGTTTTTTGTCTGAAGTTATGCTGGTAATTGCTTTTCCTTGTAGGTGAGACAGTTATATGTTACCAATGAGCTACAGCAGTGTCCTCTTGAGAGAGTGAGCTCCATTAGAAGATCAGTGAACCTCACAAGACAGGGTAAGTGGCATCTCCTGTTTGCTCTGGCTTAACATTTGTAGCCTTCTGAGCATGCAAAAGCTGACTGAAATGTTTGCTTTCCCATTTGTGCAGAGTCAGATATTCGGCCTAACAAGCTTTTGACGTGGTGCCAGAAGCAGACGGAGGGATACCGAAACGTTAACGTCACTGACCTGACCACCTCCTGGAAAAGTGGCCTTGCTCTGTGTGCCATCATCCATCGCTTCAGGCCTGACCTCATGTAAGTGACATCTGTGGAGCTCCTCAGGTGAGGCATTTGCAAAGGGTAGCATCAGACCAGAGCAGCCCTGACACTCTGCAGTCCCTGCTGTAGCTGCTTTCTGCAAGGAAGTGCACACATAGCCAGGTTTGGAGAGGGGAAGGGTGGGGTTGGGTTTGCTTTGTTTCTTCTGTATGTCCTTGCATGCTGTTTAAAATGAAATATATGTGCCTTCAAAGAGCTAGGAGGGTTTTGAACCCTGTGATTTATCATGTTTGTGGGAGTCATGTGTCTATTTAAAATTAAATTTGCAGTTCTGGGGGAATATGTAGAGCTGCGTTCCCAGATCCCTGGAGACAGGTTTTGGTGTCTGTTTGAAACCACGGCCATGAAGCACAGTCCTGAGTTACAGAAATGCTGCATCCTCCATGTGTTGTACTGGTTGCTGTGACAGTCAAATAGAGAAATGTTGGACCGTGGAGATGGAGGTTTTGCACAACTGTGTCCAGGAGAGCACAGAGTCCTTTCAGTGGGCAAAGCAAGGGCTGGGCCTTGAAAATTAATTGCCCTAGAGGTTGACTGTAAGCCAGCATTCCCCTTTTGGCACAGTTTCTGGGGTCCTAGTGCTGCATGACCCAACTGCATGCATCTGAATATTTTGTAATGTCCCATAGTTAGATACAAGAAGGTCAGTATGTAACAGGTGTCAGGAAATGGCAATTGCTGACACTGCTGGGTGCAGTCAGTGGGGTGACTCTATTGTCTCACCAGTCTCCAAAATGCAGTGGATGCATTCTCTTGTCTTCCTGCAGGGCCTTAGGAGTCACACATGAATTACTGTCAACCTCCCTTTATTGTGGATAAATGAAAGGAATGATTGAACTTTTTTATGAGATGTGATAAATTGGAAAAAAATAGGAGTGGTACCTAGGGTGCTTGTTTGTGCAGTTTTGCCAAAGAAAGAGCTGAGATTTTAAGAATAGGAATTTTTTTTGCCTTATATTGGTTTAAAAGAATTAGAATTCTGGATGTTTTTAGGGGAGAGGGTACAGAAAGCAAAGTAATCTTTGCTGCCTGTGGAAAACATGTTCTCTACACTGCTCTCTGCAAAGTCGATAAATTTATCTTCCTGAGCTAACAGACCTCCTGCTGTTCAATTAATGTTGTGTTTGGATCTTGTTGGCTTTTTGTATTCAATGAGCCTGCAGAAGGACTTGGCTGGATGAAAGCTAGGCAGGCAAGAGGGGTGGCTGCCAGTGACAGCCCACAGCTCCAGAAATGGGCAGTGGGTGGACGAGAGAAGAGGAGAAATTCTTTGGGGATTCAAAAACTCGCATTCCACTGTGAGGAGAAAGAAACTACCCTGCCTGGAGCTTTGTAATTTATTCACATGTTTATTTTAATCATGAATTTTGGAAGCTGTTCAAAAGATCAGAGTCTTAGAATAGGTCCCATAGAAAATGGATTAGAGAGTGGATAAGAGAGTTCCAGATGTGTGATGCACTTATTTAGTGCACTGCTAAATTCAGTTATGACCTGGACAGGAGGTCCCTGCTCAAACTGTGTGTGTAACACCTTAAAAAAGGAAAGATAGTGCCTGTGCATGTGTGTGCATACACACATAATGTACTACTTCCATAGAATGCTGTCCCAAATGTATTCCTTCGGGCTTTGATGATTTACAAAACTAATTAAACCTTAGTAATGTGTTGCTAATGGATGAAGTCTGTTGTAGTTCAGCTGTATGTGGAGAAGGAAAAGGTTTCTTAGCACTTCTGAGGAAGAATTGCATCTCTCCAATAAATAAGGATGTTTTTTGTGGGACTACATCAAGGTCCAGTTCAGTGAAAAAGCTTTTAAATTACGTTTCTGACAAAATCAGTATTTGTAATAACAGTATCGAAACAGGACAGCCCCCATGGGAGAGAGAAATGATGAGGAGGAATCCATGGATATCAGAAGGCTAATTAATTACTTTATTATACTATATTATTCTATATTATATTACATTACATCTAAGCTGAATCTGCCAAGCACTCAACTCTGAACACAACTGCACTCATCTCGTGACTGTCCCCCGACAGTCCCGATGCACGCACACACGCTTGGCTCTGATGGGCCAAGGAAACTAAACACCCTCACTTTGGGTAAACAATCTCCATATTGCATTCTACTTTTGCACAAACGCAGGCACAGCAAATAAGATAGGAATTGTTCCTTTCTCTGAGGTTCAGAGAATGTGAATCTCAGAAATCCTTGGGAAGAATTGTGCCTTGCTTTTGTCTCTGAAGAGAAATGTGGCCACATAGCGGCATTTGTGCGAGGCTCTTACCTTTGGCACTGTGTGGACTGCGTAGCTTTGACCCAGCGAGATGCCTGTGCCCTCATTCCCGGTGCTGCTCTGGCACGGGCACGGGAACACTGTGCGTTCCCAAGGGAGCAGGGAACGAGTGACGCCGCTGTGCTGTCCCCGCAGCGACTTCGAGGCCCTGAACGAAGAGGACGTGGTGAGGAACAACCAGCTGGCCTTCGACGTGGCCGAGCAGGAGTTCGGGATCCCGCCGGTGACCACGGGCAAGGAGCTGGGCTCGGCCGGGGAGCCCGACAAGCTCAGCATGGTGCTCTACCTTTCCAAGTTCTACGAGCTGTTCCGCGGCACCCCTCTGCGCGCAGTCGGTGAGGCGCGGCGCTCCCTGAGCTTCGGCATGGGGGAAGGGGCAGCGTTCATCCAGGGTGCTGACGAGCACTGCTCTTGAGCCAAGAGGCTTTTCCCAGCAGAGCCATTCTGGCCTGCAAGAGTTACCTCGGGCTTAACACAGGAAAGGGGGGAAATGTTGATTGAACACCAAGGTTTTGTGGGTCCTTGGTGGTTTCAGGGAGTAGGAGCAGCTGGATAACTGCTGCTTGACATCAGGAAGGGCATGCACCAAGCTGTTGGTGGGGTTCCCTGGTAGGGATGACTGCACACAGCACATTCATGCTTGTGTTTTTCTCCCTCTTTTTTTAAAAAGCCACCCTACATTGTATGTATTCACTTTTATTTGCCTGTTACCAACACTCAACTGGAAAGCTTTGGCTTAGTCAGAATAATTTAAAAACAAATGTAAGTAAATATCCTAAGCAGTTGTTTTTTCAACAGATGCTGTTGACAAGCAAAATGAAGAAAATAATGATCCTCATTTACCGAAATCGAATTTCATCTGTAATAATTATATCAATTTAAGTTTAACAAGAAAACGAGTACCAAAGGTGAGTTGTGAAGCAAGACCTGCCCTATGAATTTTTTTTTTTTTTCTGAAAAGATGAAAATAAACTTTCAGGCTTAGAAATAAGGGATTTATATATACACTGCTATAATTTTCTGAGCTATTTCTACCTGTAAGAAAAAGAGTCCTGTAGCTCTGTATTCCTGGAGTTAAATATACAGCCATTTTATTATATACTAGTTCAAATAATCAGGGCTATGCTGCACTATTTGTTGATTGGGAGGGAGTGCTGTTTTTTGAAAAAAGCAGTGATTTGCCCAGTTTGTGGATGCTGTCTGGATTCTGAAGAGAAGTTTTCCAACTCCCACAGAGGAAACCTGCAGTGGTGACAAACAGTGGGCAGGTTGATCAGCAGCTTTGGGACAACAATCTCTTAGTCATGCCCATGTACTTTTCTCTCTTGGTTACTTATTAATGAAAACTTACTGACAGGCCTTGTTATATCCCTGTATTATAAAAAAATCCATGCCCATACATGCTGTGATTAAGGACTACAGAGCCTTGAAGCTTTGCAAAGGTCTGAGTTAGCACATGTACACATCCACTGCATTTCTCAGTATTTTAATGTACTGCTTTTTAAATTTGGTGCTCTCTTGTCTTGTAGAAATGTGATTTCTATTTTTTTTCACCTGAATAATTACTCCAGAATTTCCAGATACTTCCTACACTGACTTTTGTCTTGAATTTTTTTCCATCTGCAAACCCTTTTTCAAAACCTGTGGACAGTCAATTGTTCAGTAACTTCAAATATCCTTGTTAGGAAATAATTATTTCCTGCCACCCACATATACACAAAGCTAAGTGACATGGTTCCCAGATAGCCAAGCTGTGAGCAACCAAACAGGCAGAATAAACTTTGCTTTTTCTTGTGGGTGACTTCTTTAGAAGGGAAACCTTTATCATGACCACAATGTTGTTTTTCAATGAGTTGTTTGCAGAAGTAAACAGACTTTTAGCAGTGGGGAGAGCTTTCCATTACTGAGCCATAGAGCCTCTGATTAACCTCCTGTCATAAAAAAAGCCTTCTGTCATAGCAGGAGCTGGAGTTCTTGGCAGTACATGAAAGCACGAGGTGATTTGCTTGAAGGGCCCCTCTGGTTTCACACTACGGGAGCTCGTTGGAAGTGGAAGTATTATTTCCCAAATCAGCTTGGGAAGCCAGGCATTTTGTGCGAGGTTTTGCAGCTCTGTCATGGATGGGCTGTCAAACCAAGCAAGGTGGGTTAGGGTACTTGGATTAGGACAGACTTGGGAGTGCCACAACCAGCTGAAACTAGCTGGGAAATTAAGCTCCTTGGAAAGCAATTGCTTGAGTTTGGGGTTTGGCCGTGGCTCCAGCTTTTTTAGGGTTCTTTCCCCTGCAGAAAGTGGTGCTGAGCATTATCCAGGTGTATATATATCAAAAGTTCTGTCCAGGCTTTAGGAGAGCAGAGCGTGTTGCTAACTGAGCTTCCATGGCATGTAATTTGTCCTTGGGTTGGGCTGGAGGAGGGATCCTTATCTGGGCGCAGGCTGTGAGAGACCAGGAAGGGGGGCCTGGGGCTGGGGTGGCTGTGGCTGTTCTGGCAGCCTGTGCTGAGCTGGATCATGTTTTCCATTCTCCTCGGAGTGTCAGCCCGGCTGGAGAGGAACTGAGATTTCCTGTGCTCCAGACTAATAAATGAATGGAGGTGTTTACACAATGCAGGGCGCAGCCCTTTTGGAGTCTTGCTTGGCAATTAAATTGCTTTGTCTTTCACTTCTTTGTCAGCGTGTTAATGAGAGTCCTTTCTGTCCCATTTCTGAAAGGTAGCATCCTGCTTTGCTCCATTCGCTCAAGCAAAAGCTGCTTTTATGTGGCCCAGGCTATTGTGCAGAACACATTGTGCTGTTCTGTGTTCACCCTTTCTGAGTAGACTGATGACTGTAGGTAGTGCAGAGCTGGGTTTTGCTGAGCTGCTGCTTGAAAGACAACGTAGCAAAGCAAAGTAATTGAAATATTGTCATCTGATTCCTTTGGTGTCTGCCCACAAGTTGTTTGGGATTACTCGTCTTCACTGCATAATGATTTACTACAAACAGTCTATATGTAAAAAGGAATCCTGCATTCTTTGATCTTTCTTTATTCCTTTTTGGGGTTTTTTAAGTTGGCTGAGCAGGCACTAAGTTACAGCGTGGGCAAATGCCGATAAGTGGAATATAGTTTGTTGTTCATAAATTATCACTGTGTCAAATCTTCACGACTGAATGTTATAAGAAGTGATAAAAATTTGCTAGCATTGACTACTTTTCAAGTTTGTGCAGACTGAGTATGAAGTATTACTGATTTGTGTAATCTCTAGTTGAGTAAAATAATGAAATACGTGTGTGGCTTGAACACAAAAGAAGCAATTTGGTTGCTTAAGTATTGTAATGTTCAGCCATAGTCAGGGAGGTGAACCTTATGAGGAGACAGATCTTTAAAGCAGCCAGTAATTGCTCAAAAAAGGAAGTATGACTGTGCTATGAATTCATGATCTGCATGCAGACACATGGTTCAAGAGAGATTTGGTCGTTATAGGGAAAGAGTGAGGGGTTTCTGGATTTTACTTCTTTGGAAAACAGTACAGTCTAGCTGAAAATTCACAGAATAACTCATGCTGTAATGCCTTTTTGTTCAAGGATGTGTTAGTGCTTTATGAATTCTGAACTCCTCAGTACTGAAAGAGGCAAAGATGAACACCAAGTGTAGGGCTGCTCAGCACAGCGTGCAGGCTTGTGTTCTCATGCCCTGGAGTCCAGTGAGAGCTTCCAGTAAGGGGCTGTGTGGCAGCTTTTACTGCCCTGATAGCTGCTGAGCTGGGGCTCTGACTGGGGGGGCAGCAAGAGCCCCTGATGCTGGCGCTGCTCACCTGCGTGTGCCTGGCTGAGCACAGCCCAGACCTCGCCTGCCTGGGGGTGGAACTTCTCCTGGGAGGAGCTGCTGGGGTACGCTTGGGAATTGCTGCAGTAACCCATGGAACTTGTTTTGGCTTTGCCCTTTCAGGCTGAAGGGAAAACAGAAGAAAATGAGACTAACAAAAGACGTCGGAAAGGACTCTTTGGTGTCTTTGAGCAGGTTGGTGTTCAGTGGTGCCCACCTGTGTCCAGCTCCCTGATGGGCACCAGAGCTGAGGAAGTGTTGCAGGGCCAAGGTTTGGCCTTTGGAGCGTGGCAGGGAAAAAACCTCTCCCTTGAAGCCTTGAATTTACTGTGGTGTGCACTAAAGAAGAGCTAAATTAATTTTAATCGTTTGGTAGGGAGTAGAGCATTAACTAAATTGCACTAGTTTTTGTACTGACACAGGAACATTTAAGGTATTGGGTTTTTTTTTCCTTTTCCTAATTGTCTATTTAGACAATTTTTTATTTGAAGATTTTGCATTGCAGCTTGGTTTCTAGCCCTTCTCTGATTAGTCACCTTTGTGACTCTGCTTTATGAATACCAGCACTGATTAATGTTCCCTTTTACTGTGCTCTGGGACCCACAAAAAATATTTTTTGGCAATTCTTGCATGCTAAACATGTCATTTTAATATACTGTAGACTATATTTCCTTTCACCCTTTGCTGAAAAGGATGATGCATTTCTCCTCCTCTCCCTTCATGAGTGTTGTAGGAAACATAAGAAAAACACAGTTTGTTGTTTCCTTGCAGACTTCAAGCTTTCCAAGCCAGGGGACAGACAATGGGAAAGAACAGAGTGATGGCAGAGAAGGAATGAACCAGAACAAAGTCAAATCAATGGCAACTCAGCTGCTGGCAAAGTTTGAAGAGAATGCTTCAAATACAATTCTGCAGAGACAGGTAGGTCATAGATGAACATGAAAGCCATCTCTGAAATTGCACTGTAGTCCCTCCTTGTGAAGGTGATGCAGATTTCCCAGGGAAGACAGGAGTCTGTTAGGGGTCTTTGAAGTGGGTTGTCTTTTTTAATACTTTATGCAAATTAAAAGTATTTCTTTCAGTACTTGGTAAACAAATACAACTCATATAGATTGACTAATGTGTCTAACAATGGCGTATTGCTGTGTTACAGTGTCTAGAAGTCTCATGGAAGTGAGCCTGTAGAATTTGTGTTATTTGGAAGTCTAAGGTGGCCGCATACAGTATTGCAGAAGGCCTGTTGTTGCTTACAGTTTTCAAATAAAGGACACTGCATATCCTGTGAAGTCTGTCTTTATGGAAAACTTAGGGAGTGTCAAAAGGAAACCTAATCTCTTGCGAGATATGTCTGGCTGCCATTTCCATTCCAAAACTAGGCAGAGTGGAATGCATTTGTGCATTGTACAACGTTTTCATGGTTTAGTGTGACTAGAGGTATTTTAAAAACAATCCCATGCTGCCAAGGTAGAGGGGAGAAGCTCAAAATCACACTTCAGCCAGAAATAGTTGGAATCAGCAGAGTTTAGATCTGTCATCTGAAAGATCTGAAGGAAGGATAAGCAAGTTGTGCATGTTTTGAAAAAGATGGTGGCTTTCTTAATTCTTCATCCTTGTATCCATTTGTCTATTTAAATATTTAGGTCCTCCAGTAGTGTAGGCTTTATAGATGTCCAGTGACTTTGTATATCCTTGAACCAAAATTGTTTGCACACTACCTGGGTACTTGTCTGTGCCCTGAGCTTTCAGTGTGTGATAAGTGGCCAGAGATTTCCTTGGCCATGCTGGAGAAAGTTATTTTGATCATAAACTCGGTTAAAAAGTACTAAATGCGTTCAACTTTAAGTAAATCTTTGATGTTAGAAGTTGCTAATAAAATGGGTAGGTGGCAAAAATATGCAAAACGTGTTGTTACGCTTCATAGTAATGCGTCTTTAAAAAAAGCTTTTATTTCTTTCTGCCTCAGAAATTCTTTGAATCCTATTTACTCTCTTCCTTTTTTTTTCCCTCCTTCATTCTGTCTTTGCAACTTTAAAAATGCTTTACAAGGAGCTAACAGATAGACCAGCCCTGCTCTCCTCTGATCCTCCTGTTAATCCTCGCTTTGCTAAACCTATGGATCCAAGCCTTCTTCCACCTCAACCAAAAAGGCAGGTAGGAAGCTCCTGTGGGTAACACCTGGCAAGTACAGCATTTCTGTCACTGCTGGGAGCTTGCTGTTATTGTGAGCTACATAAGATATAAAGCAATATTTAGATGGAAACTGCCAAGTTCACGGACACATGTAGCTGAGAATTGTGAAAACACCATTAAAAAGTAAAAGCTATTTTGCACCTGCTTTGCCAAATGAGAAAACTCTCTGAAAGTGTGGAAATACCCTGAAAACACAAGTGTTGATTTCTTTGTTACCATACCTAGACTCCAAATTGTATGAATGTAATTACATAGCTACATTTAACACGTGAGAAAACTATAGCAGTACCTGAAAATTTGTGCATGTACTTGATGCTTTGGGCTATTGTAATGATAAGGCTAAGAGAGAAACCTGGCAAAAATATATAAGATAAAAGCTTGAGCATTGAAAAGCTGATATTGGTGCCCAGGTGTTTTATTTCTATAAGTAGAACTTGTAATAAGAATTTCTGCTGAAAGCTCTTTTGCAGCATCACATATATGGGGAAAAATTTTTGACAACGTAGTCTAAATTTTTCTCTTAGTACTTTCACTGCAAGCAATCTCATCTCAAACAGTATTGATATTCACTTTTCTTTAGAGTTTGAAATTAAACATCCTGTAATGGCATTTTAAGAGCAGTCTGCAGTGAAATGAGATCTCTATTGCATGTGGAAATCTGCAGGTCAGAAGCTATTTTATATGAAAACTCAAATTCAGAGATGTGTTCTGAACTCCTCAGCAAATGCCTTAAATCTGAAATACATTGTATACTGATTTGGATCAGACTAGATCTAGAACTATGGCAAGAATTACTGTTGAAATCCTCGTAAATATAATTTGATTATAAGCTGAGTTTCAGGGAGATGTGCTACTAAAAAACCCCAACCCAAAACCTTTGCTGTAAACCCTAGAAAAAGATGTTCTTCTGCACTGCTGCTGTCTGAGGTTTTTCACAAAAACTCAGAAGTGTAGAGAAGGATGTCAAGGCCTGCACAAGGATTTATTTCAGTGCATGTGCACAAGCACCAGAAGTGCAGTAGACAGTGTGCAGAGTGGTGTGAGAACATTTGATTTCTAGTTATGTGCATGACTGTGCCGTTCTTTTGGAAGCATCCTTAAAAGCTGCATATACTGCATGGTAGTGCAGAAATTAGAGTTTTGTTCACTTCAAGTGTTTCCCAGTTTCAGGTGGTAGCTAGGAGTGAACACGAGGTCAGGGAACCCAAACAGTCTTTAAATGGTTCTGATCATATGGCCAGGAGAGCAAAGACTGTGCACAAAACAGATCCCCAGCCCAGTCTGTCAGAAACCTCTGAAAATCTCGCGTCTGCCTGTTCTGCTGCATTTGTGCTTTCTGGAGTGCTTGAGCGTCTTCAGCACCTGGAGGAAAAAATGAAACAGGTGACAAGCAACTTCTTTTCCTTTCTGTCTCTTAAATGCCTATGATAATCTGTGTCCTGTGGTTTTGCTGGCTTGTTCTCTGTTGACTGTAGATTGTATTAAGACAAAAAGTCTTCCTGCAAACTTCTGTGTTTTGTTGATAGATGTGATTTTAACTGAAATCTCTCTCTTTCTTTTCTTGGCTGTCCTTCCCTGGCTGTCACTGCAGAAAAGAGCTCAGACCATAGCAAATAGGGAATTCCATAAAAAGAACATTAAAGAGAAAGCAGCACATCTCGCCTCAATGTTTGGATACATGGAGTTTCCGAAGGTGAATTTTAAGTTTTGCACCTGAAGAACTGCTGAATTGGAAGATGTATAAGAATTCACGAAGGGAAAGAAATTGCAGTGGTTTTGGTTTTAACTTTCTTTCATTCTGTGTGGATCTGAAAAGTAATGTGGATTCCACTGAAACTAGTAAAAAGTCTTGCTTAAATATTATTGCATTGTTTAATTAAGGTGAAACAATCCGAATCATAAAGCTAATCAGAGTGCTTTAGCAGGAGAGAAATGTGTTCAAATAAGCTATGTCTTGTGCTTAAGCACACACTGCTGGCTCACAGTTTCTGATCAGTTGCTGAGCAGTGGTACTTGGTACACTCTGGTTTTTGCTGGATTTCATTATGCCTTCTCCCAGCACTATCTTACCTTACTGCCCACTGTGAGTATTTCTATTAAAGAATAGTACAATAATATCATTTACCATGAAGATGCCATGATGATTTCCATGGGCCCTTACTGTGCAGAGGTAGTGAGAAGAGTAGAACTGTCATTGTGTTTCTGTTTTTTTTTTTTTGATGCATGACTGTGAACTTAACCTGTGTTGATGTCAGTGTCTCTTGGATAACTCTCCTGTTTCTGCTCTACACAGAATAAGCTACCTACTAAAGGCTTACCCCATTCTCAGCCCCCAACTCCCTCTTGCTCTCCACCTCATCATTCAGCTGTTGCTGCTTCATCATCTGTTGGTTCAGCTTCTTCTGCTGTTTCTTCTCAACAGGTACTCTATTAAGAGATTTTTCATGTAAAACCCAAACTTTTACTCAAGCTGCTTGAGAAATGGCTTGGATGGAAGGTGCTGCCAGCAGACCTGTAATTCACATTTAAATCAAACTTTCCTTTTTTGCTGTTGTTAATTCTGCATGTTTGTAAGAGGAATGTCATCATCAGAAATGGCTCAGGTGGAAGTTGAAGGACAAAGCAAATGGTTAACATTTTTTTACTTAATTTCTGAAAATTTTGCATTGCTGCTTATTTTAAATGATCAGCTGTTCAAATGTACCACAGGTGTGCTGAAGAAAGCTTCACATTATAAAGCAAACTGGGTGCTGTGTGGTTGGTGGCATTTATGTTTCTTTTCATAAGTATATCTGTCTGCTCTGCAGGAGAAAACCCACACCACGATGGTTATTTTAACCACGTCTTAGAATGGGCATGCCTTAGAATTGTATGAGCATTTACCAATACAGACATTTTATTGTTTTTTTAATTATTTGTGCTTTAAACTTCTGCATGTGAATAGCTAGAATACAGTTCTTTGTAACAGCAGACCTTATGGAGAGGAAACATCCATACTTGGAAAGAAGGAGATGACACTTGGGTCAGAGATACTCAGTTCTTACTACTGAGGCTGGTGTTAATGGGCTGTGGTGCAATGACTGCCTGGCTCCCAATCCCCAGGGAAATACAGGGGACATGGCCCTTCAAGGACACTGCAAGCTCAGCAGGTGCCTCACTGCAGTAATCCCCTAATTCCCTTCATTCAGCTTCAAACTAATTCCTCTGCCTGGATTTACCTCTTACTTTTTTGACCTAAGAGGTATAATGTGTGATGGGTTTTAAGCTAAGTAATGGTTTCCAAAAGATTGGGGGATAATGTTCATTTGATTTGGAGAACTTTTGTGACTCTGCAAGGAGAATAAAAGAAAACCCAAAACCCAAACCTAAGCTATCTGAAAAACCCTTTAGAATATGAGAACTAGGCTTTTAATCATATGGAAACTCTGTGAGAAATAATTTATTGGGATTTTAACATCACTTCTTGGAGAGCCTTTGTCCTGAGCAATCTTTTTTTCTGGATATTTTAAAAACTGGATTTTGTTTAAAGGGCACTGAGAGCCTTGATTAGCTTGCCTATGTATTTAAATGGTGTGGCAATAGTTTGTCGTTACTTGGTTTCACTCAGGCTGAGTTCACTTCAGCTGAAAAGTGCTCTCTTTGGAGATGCTGGCAGAATGCAGCTCAGCTGAAGCAAGAAAATCTAGTTCTGTCACCAGCACAGATATGTTCATCTCACTGGGTAAATATTTGGCTAGTTAAGTAGGACTACATTTACACTTTGGCAGATCTACATGCATGAGCATTTTGATGCCTGCATACCCAGCTCCATGTGTTGTACAGGCTGGCAGCCTCTTGTACCCTATGCATTTCATAGGTGTAAATGTGGTGCATTTTGTGTGGCATTTTGGAGAATTTTTAAACAGCAGGTCTGGTAATGATCAGGTGATTTTTGCTCCTCCTGTCAGGGGCACAGGTGGTAATAGAATCTGTCCCTGCCCTTTCACGGTCAAATTGTTGTCCCTGTGTTTTATTCTTACACATTGCACACCTTTCAGAATGCGAAAATTTTATCCTGCTCTATAAAGCACTAAATGTGACTAAATGTGTTTTGCTGTATATATAACAGTTCAACAGTATTTCAGATGCACATTGTGCATTTTCGAGTGCTGTTCAACAATACGTTTGGACCTCTCTGCTGTGAACATGCCAAAAACTGCCTGTGTCTCTGTTATCTTGAGAGGAGTTATGGGTCTCAAAACTTGAATTTCTACTCTGTTCTGAGAATTATCATTAGCTGAGTGTAGACTTCAGTGTCAGAAAGTGTTTTGGGATTGATAAATCAACAGGAAGAGCTGCTGTGTGTTGCTGTCAAGTGTTTCTCCTTTTTCCCCAGCAAACAGAAGGTAATAGAAGTGTTTTGAGTTCTGTAAGGCTTCATGATATATGACCTATAAATATCAGCACCCTCCCATGGTTTTAAATAGCTAGTGCTGTCATTTTAATTTCAGGTGAGTTCTGAGGCTGTTACCAGACATGACAAACCATTGCACCTGTTGAGTTTTGCTTGGAACAGTATTAGTTATGGGGACACAGTTATTGAAAAGGGTGGCTATGTAATTCTGTCTAATTACAGAAACTTGTTATTAAGTGTAAGTCCTGCAAAGGACACTTGAAAAGAAGGCTGTGGGACCATATTGTTTCTTCCAAGACATGCAGTCATTACAACTTAGTAAGAATTACCTTCTGTGTGCAATATGTCAATAACAATCAAAAGTACTTTCTAGCTTCAATCAGCTGTCAAAATTCACATAGTTAGAATTATGAGTTAGCCTATATTGTATTACAGGCTGGGCTTTGGTTATTCCTGTTTTCTGCTCAAGGTTGGATTAACCTTCAGAAAACTCTGTCCATCTGAGCTTTGCATGAGTGAATCCACGGCGTGTGTCGTAAGAACTGGGAAGTTTTTGCAGTCAATTTACTCCCTGCAGAGCTTGGACCAACAGCTTCCCTTCAGTGACGTGACTCTAATTGCCAGCAGTAAGCAGGGCTGTGGTGTTTCTTACACACAGTAACTTATTACTCAAATGTTGTTTATCTCAGAGAGAAAATATACGTAGCAGCTTGTATGAAAAGTAAATAAATCACCCTCAAAGCAAAATAAGACCAGGAAAATAATTAAGGATATGAAAGAACAAAGGGAAAGCATTGTATGCTTTTGGAGGCAGAGAGCATGTTTCCTTTGTTTTATGAGAATGTGACTGAGGCTTACTTGGCTGGCTGCGCAGCTCTGAATAATAACACAGGGAAATACAGAAGGCAGCTTTCTCTTCCTGTGGTAATAACCACCCTGGCCAACCTGCTGGAAAGCAGCGTGCCGCTGACAGCTCAACAGTCTGAGGAAATCACAAACACTTAGGATTTTTAAGTGTTTTCTGGTTGCTCCCTGAAATTCACCGTGTAAGGTAACTCTTTAGGACTGCTGTTCAGCAAAGGCGTAAAGCTGCCTGAACTGTGAGCAGTAGCCTGTCCCATGCAGACAGTGGCCCCAGCATTACAAAGCTGTGTGTGCCTTCAGTAGAGCAGTAGGCTCAGTAGTCCCAGTGTTTTTGAGGGTGGCAGGTGCTCTTGGGGCTGCCCTGGTGCATCCTCATCCTGCCCTGACGTTTCTGGTTGGTGACTGAGTGGCACTTGAACAGAACAGTTCTGTTGGAAGGGATGGACAACAAACATCTCTTGCCTGACCAACTCAGGGCTGACCAAAAGTTAAAGCATGATTTTAAGGGCATTGTTGCTAAATTAAATTGAAGTCTCACTTGCTTTTACTTGGAATGTGAATTCGCATTCATTATAGGAACACTTCCTTTTTAATAACATTTTTGAAGTGTGTATAAACATGCAATTTTCTTGTTTTGACTGCTTTAATGTTTACATGGATTGTTCCAATGGATGGAGAACAGAAATCAGCCAACCTGATGAATTTCAAGGAGTAGTTCAGGCTCAAGGATACTTTTCCTGAAATTCAACTACTTGCACTTCAAGCACAGCCTTGTTATTTAACTGGTTGCTCCAGTATTTATCTAGTTCAAGGAAAACTTTCTGCTTCAACTGACTTTGAATACTTTCTTTTACCTTTGATCTTGTGGACAAGAACTTGTACATTACTTGTACATGTACAACATGGCCTGGAGATTGCATAGCATATTCAGAGGTGCAAAATTTGGGGAGGAAATTTTTTTTTTTTGTTCCATGTTCTTAAACAAGTCAAAGGAATGTAGTTTTCCTGTAGTGGCAAGTAGCACTTATAGTGGTTTATAAAATGGTGTGCCACTTTGGACAGCGTTGTGGTGTGTAATTAGCAGTTAACTTTGCAGTTATTACCCACAAGTTGTCCAGATATTGAATAATATTTTAAAGTCTTTTTATACTAAACAAAACCAAACAGGATAGAAATTTGTCCCTTAAATGGCCTTTGTAGTCTTAATGTGTGTATCTTGTACCTGCCTGGATATCAGGTTAGTTATGAGATGACTCTCAAAAGATAAGGGGAGCTGTAAAGGGGAGCATGTTCCCTTGAATGTTTTTATCCATAATAATTTTTGAAAACACACCCACAGTGCATTATAAGTGTTTTTAAACTTGATAGAAAATGCTTTAAGGTTGTTTTAAAGTATTCCAAATACCGTTGCATTTATATTTTTCTCCTTTCTTCATGATAACTTTCTGGTATATTAAAACCTTCAGTTAGCAGGAGTTGGTGTGGTGGCAGCAGACAAATCATTTCACTGAGAAGAGGGTGACTTCCTTGAGATCTGGGCTCTTTGAGAGGCAAATGGAGTGTTAGCTGTGGTATCATGTATCATACCTGTAATGGAAAAAACCAGTGCCCTGAGTTCAGAAGCAGAGTACCATACCCCTGGCCAGACCAGGATGGCCTCGCTGCATTTGCTGCCAGAGAGGCTGTGGGATCTTACATTGACTAGAAAGCTGAAATCCCAATCAATACAGGAAATTTGATTTAGAGTAGAAGATACTTCTGTAAATCTGTGAGCCCTTTACTGTCTGTTTTCCAGGAGCAGAGTACCTACCTACTTGCTGCCACTCACACACTCATGCACACGCACTTTGCCCCTGTTCCAGTCCCCAGGCAGCTGTTTGGGCAGGGAAGCACAGACCATGCAGTCATTGGTCTGTCTGCTTGCATTTGGAGCCACAAAGCCTAAGCCACTGCTGGCTCCTTGCAGGCCTGATACATTTGGTTAAAAACAGCCTAACTTTCATGGCTGCAGCAGTGTGACGAGGCAGATTAAAGGAGAAGATTTCCCCTCTCACTAGCATGGTTTCTCCAATTCTCTCTGGCATTGCAATGAGTCACTGGGGAGAGGGCAAATGGTTGCCCTGTGAGCTCCAACAAAACATTTCTGTGTGGGGCTTGGCTCATACATTTTCATAGAATGTTCCCTGAAATGTCACAGTTTGGGAGTGTTAATATGGAGTTCAATCCCACCCCTGTTCTGAAATGTGACAACCAAGTCCCAGAGAAGTTGAAGTGAACAATAGGGTTTTTTTTAATGTCCGAATGTCCAACTCAGATAGCCAGGCAGTGGCTCCCAGCTCAGCCCTTTCATGGGCACAGCAGGAAGCCTTGAGGAGAAGCATTTGCTCCCATCAGGAACTTCTCCTCATCCTCAGGGAAAAGTCTGTGGGCTGCACAGAAGTCTTCTGTGGCCCCACGCTGGTTACGCATGAACATGCTTGTGTTCTGCTGGGCTTCCCCTCTGCTCTTTCTCCTGCCTCCCTGTGTCAATGTTTGCATGTGCCCAAATCATTCTTGTCCTTTTTTGTCTTTAAATTCTCTTTCAAGAGTAACTAAAGCTCTTCCTTCTATTCTTTATCTTCCTCCCTTTCCTGGTTAGACGACTGTAGGAAAGGTCTCACGTGCAATTGGAGCTGTGGCTGAAGTTCTTGTAAATCTGTATGTGAATGATCACAGACCCAAGCCACAGCTTGAACTGGTAAGACTAAACCCACAGAGAAACAGTAACTTGACTTAAGAGTAATGTTCCCAGAATGCCATCCTGACTTAAGACCCCAGTTGTGGAGCACTTGAAGCCTTATGAAAGATGTAACACTATATGAAAGAGTCAAGTGCACATCAGCACAATGTGCTGATGGAAATGTTGCTCTCCACGTCTTCTATTTCTATTACTTGACTGTGTGAATTAAAACTTCAGGAGGCTTTTATTAAATGTAATCACTGTAGAATTAGTAACAAAAGACAATTATTACTTAGGGTGGCTTCTAAAGAAAGTTTTGTGCAGTACGTGCATATGCAGTTATTTTTAACACTCGAGTGTTGAATCACCGTGCCTCCTTTTGAAGAGGGCTGTTTCTCAACTCTGACACTGTTCTGTGTTGAATTCAGAAGCGGTCTCTGGACAGAGCTGCAGGTTCTTGCCCCATTCCTCACTTACCATCCGCTGCCTCCACCACTCAGAGCTGTCAGGTACTGGAAAGCCAAGTAAGGTGTTGTGTGTGGTGATGACACTTTACTTACCAGCCAGCACTAAACTCAGTTGTTTCAGCTTCACTGTAACTATCTGATCTATTTAACACCATGGTTTTAAAAGCACATTTGTGTGGTTTTCCATTTGCATGGTTGTTTGTTTGGAAAGATTCATTTTAATGATCCATCAGAGCAAAATTGATTACTAATGGCAGATCTGGAATAGAATTCTCAACTTCTGAGCACAGGACTGCGTGACAATGACAATTGTGAGTTCTGCTTAACATTAAAAAACGGTTCCAAGGCTTCCTTTTGCTCACAAATGAAAGATGAGTTGTGTGGACTGTGTGCTACTGTCTGAATGTGCCTTGGACTTTTCCTCCTCCATCCCATGTGTGGTACCTCTCCTGTGGCAGCAGGGATAGTGGAAGGGGAGGGAGGTGGTAATGGATGTGGCAGGCACAGCGCGCTCATCTGTACCGACCTGTAACCAGCCATAATACAGTAATGCAAAGTAACATCCTCATACCTGCCTCTAATAAGAAAAGGGAAGTCCAGTGGCATCTAATCAATTTCTAGTTCACTTTTCTGTACCTTTTGCATGTCTGTGTAAGAGGGGATGAGATTCGTGGCAATTAAAGAATGTTAATTACCAGCCTTATTTCAACAGACTTTCAAAATAGTTTCATGTGGTTAATATGGATTGTATTTTGAATGCATTAAAGATGTTCTGAATGTGTGTGGTAGGAAACAAAGTGATTTTTAAAGCTAGCCAAACCCCAGGTTGGGCTGTAGTCTTGGGAGGAACATGGCTGAGGGGGGAGGCACAGCTGTGGTGATGGGAAGGGTGGTTCAGACAGCAGCTTTGAAGACTGACTGACTGCTTTTCCCCTGGAACTTAAAGCACAAGCCTGCATTTTCCTCCAGATTGTGTCTGAACTGCGAGTTCAGGGTGTTTTTTTGCTTGGCTGCAGATGCAAGTCTGCTGTTTGAGGCTGGTGAGGTGTGTCTTCACCTTCTGAGAGAGACACAAGTCCCGGAGTCAGGATGGTGCAGGGTGATGAGGGAGCACTCAGGGATGATGCTGCTCTTGGACCTGAGTAATCAAAATGTCGGTGAACTCACAGAGGGAAACTGGATGCAAGTCCAGCATCAAAGTCACCCTTTTAAAGTCCTTGTGATGTCTGATTTATTAATTTCTGCATAAACCTACAGAATTGCAGTAATGAGTAATTAAAAAGCTGACTGATGCCTACTGTAATTTTGCTTGGAGGGTGCTGTGCAACCCTTCAAGCAGCTAAAGCAGCTGCCCCCTTCATAAGGATTTATATCTGGGTGTGGAGCCACAGCTTCATGTTCTGTTTTTATCTTTGAACAGGGTTCTCTGCGAAAAGAATTCCCCAAGTCCATCGGGGGGAGTGACATTTGTTATTTCTGCAAGAAACGGGTCTATGTCATGGAGCGGCTGAGTGCAGAAGGCCACTTCTTTCACAGGGAGTGCTTCAAGTGTGAAATATGTTCTACTACACTCCGCTTAGGAATTTATGCCTTTGATGTTGAAGAAGGTAATGTAGGAGCTATTTAGGAGTATTTTGAAATGTCTGAGTATTGGTGCTCTTACTGGAGCTAAGGGGAAAGATCTGTCCTGATAGCACGGTCAGGAGGAGGTCTGCCAAGTGTGCTGTTTGTGTCCCTGCTGATTTTTGAGTCCTTGTACTTGCAGTCCTAGTTTTTCAAAAAAGTTGAGTTATGGCAGACCTGAGCTGTAAATGAAGAAATCCTCAGTGGAAAATAAGTTGAGTGAGCAAAATGCACTGTGTTGAATCACAGGTCGAAGTAAGTGGGGAAAAAGGGGTGAGGTTTCTCCAATAATATAGAGTTATTCTTATCTCCATTTAAAACTGGCCATTAAATAACATGATCTATTAGGAACAAGCCATAGCAGTGGCAGATTTACATGGATGCAAGGAATGTAGGTTATTTCTGTTACAATGGTATGGTCAGGAGTTGAAAGCAGTAGGACTGACCAAGCACAATGTGATTTATTTCAGGCTCCAGGCTGCTGTAGAACAAGAGGTTCAGATCTTGGGTGCTTCATCCCACCTAAATCCTCTGGGGTTTTCCTTTTTTTTTTTTTTTTTAGTTTGGAATGGAATTATCAAACTGAACTGAAATTCCCTTGTCTCTTCCAAAGTATTTGAGTAGACCAGAGTATTAACCTCATCTCCCTCTGCAAAAATATTAAAGATTCAAGGTCAAATTGGTTCTTTTTCAGTGTGGAGAATCTGCAAAGATGTATTTTTTAGCAATTATTGACTTTTTTTTCTGCTTGATGTCTTCTGTAGGTTTGTAACTTTGTATTTATGGGATGTTGGTTTTTTTGCTGTTTATTAATCTTATACCTGAGAGGTAGATAAATGACCTTGTGTTACTGAACGAATGTGCAAATCTGTAAAAGAAACCTATTCAGAGCAGTTAGAATCAGTGCCAGGTTTCCCATTCCTTTTGCTGCCCAACTGTTCATTATCCTGGTTTCATTTTTTTTAGTAGATGCAACAGTGATTTTTCAGTCCATATACGTGTAGATAACATATCCTGTAACTGATTTTTCCCTCTTGTAGGTAAATTTTACTGTAAACCTCATTTTACGCACTGCAAAATCAGTACGAAACACAGAAAGAGAAGGGCAACAATACAGATCCATGGAAAGGTATGGACTGATTTTATTGCAATGCAATGTTGAGGCAGCTTTATCTGGGGCAGGGTGAAATACTTGTGTGTGTGGATGTTCTCTACCTCATGTGCAGTAAAATCAGTTCTAAAATACAAACCTCCTCATTCTGTGAGTTTGGCATATTTATAATCCAGTTCTCAATGGAATTTAGCTTTTCTATGCAAAGTACAGTTGAACTTAGGAAATGAAAATGTATATAAAGACTTGAATATATCCAAAGATTTTCATTTCCAGTTGAACTGGAAATGAAAATGTATATAAAAACTGAAGACAGTAACAGAAACTGGACTTACGTACTTTAGAATCATATTTAACATTTTATTTTTTAATGCTTTTTCTAAGGAGGCGATAGATGCATGGAAGAAAGTGGAAGCCAAACCCACAGAGATCACCACAGAAAGCAGTTTGTCCACTGCTAGCAGTCCAGAGGACAGGTCCCCAGGTATCCTGACTTCCTTCTTACGGGGCACGCTAAGCTGGCCCCTGCGGGTGACCAGGGATCTGCTTGACATTCCCAGCCGCCTGTCTAACTGGATGCATGGTTTCCTGCACGCTACCCTCCTCCATTTCAGGGACAATGCATATAACTATACCTACCTGTACGAACTCCTGAGCCTTGGGGTGCCACTCCTCTGTGCTCTCCTAGAGGTACTCACTCACATGTACCGGGAAGCAGAGCTATCACTTGAAAACGTGCTTGAATGGGTGAAAAGATTCTGTAGGGTTTGAACCCTTCTGTGTGTCTTGCTCAGTTGTGCCTTTCAAATTTTCAAAATTTACAGCCTGGCTATTTTCTCGAGGGGAATTTTTGGTTTGGAGGGCTTTGTTTTTGCTCTTCGTGCAATGTGACGCATGACTTCACTGAATGGCGGATTCCTTCCGATAGCAGTGAGGTACAATTGAAATTTTCAACTCAAAATGTACTGTATGTTAGAGCATGAAGGACAGTGTCCAAACACATTTCCAGAACATGGAGTCAGATGAAGGATATTTTCTAGATTATTTCCCCACCTGTTTTATTCTGTGGTCAGACCATTGGAGAAGATGGTACATTTTGAAACCATTTTTCTTCCTATTCTCCCCAGGTAATTTTTTTCTTTTTTAGAAAAAAAGACCATGAAAAAATGTGTGTTCTTTCAGGAATATTTCTGACAAATAACTGGGGTTTGAAACCCGAGTATGGCATGTAGCTTTTTTTTTTTTTTCTTGCTTTCATCTTTGCTCTAGGTTATGAGATTTTTACTTGCATGAATGTGATTCCAAAAAATCATGTACATAATTCACATTGCTCCTACATTTACATGTGATGGATACCTTTTATTGATAGTGGGTATTATCTGTTCTACTAATTTATTTGAAGTTTTTCAATAAATTTGAAGAGCAAATGATAGTTGAGTGAAGGCTTGATTGAAATTTGAAGTCAAAGGAACTGGTAGAAAGTAGACCGGACATTCCTCAAGTCAAGGCTTCCTCATTTGGTAGCTGATATGAGGCATATCAATTTATGGAGCACTCCTCTGTAACTGAAGTCACTCCCTTCGTGCCTCTGGTCAGGCACTGCTCCCGGTGTCTTTTGGAATTTTTTAAAAATGCAGGTTTAAAACAAACATTAAAAGCCTAAAAATGTATTCTTAGGCGATAACTTCTTTGGTAATTCATTTCAATGTGTGCAGCTGGTGGCAGAAAGGTGAAATTCTATTACCTGGAGCAGCAGATGAGTAAATTTTTTTCAGATGTCCCTCAACCTTAATCAGAAGGTCTACCTTAATCTGTTAAACAGCAAGGACACAGTGACATCCCAATGCTCATTACTTTCAGCCTAGTTAGCCAGCGAGGTAAGCATGCTCCCTGCCTTTCAAGTACTTATTTATATTCAGAAGTTTACCAGGAAATAGGTAACCCAGTATGTGTCGCCTAAAATGAAAATCACCTGTAGCATTTATTTGTAGCCAGGAGAATGTGGCATAAACAATAGGAAATATTGTTGCATTCAGTTAGTAGCAAAATTGAGGATCACCTGCCAGTGGTCTCAAATGACTGTGCTGCCTGTGGGCTGGCAGGTCTTGGGGTTTGTTGTTCTGTTTTGATTTGATTTGATTTAATATAATGTGGGAAAAGATGATTTGAATTGTTTTGCCTCTTAGATATGAAAATGAAATGTGTCTGCTGTTTAAAATAAATGACAAACTGGATCTTTCTTCTAGATAGTTTGACTTTCTTTATGAGGATGAACTTTTCACTTTGTAGAGTGGTTATGTATTTTGGGGAAAAATTTGTTATTTTTATGCACAGAACTTGACAAAGTGCTTGAAGAAAATTGTTAGATATAAGGTAGCATTCCTTTGACATAAATTGCCTTTAATGCTCAAATATGTATTCAGCCAAACTTTGCTATGACATGGAGTGGACACAGCAATAATTACAGTTACATGGTGGCCATCTGTATATTTGTAATGTATCTGTACCTTACAGCATTTTAAAAACCTGACTTGGAAACCCTGTACTATTTTTAATAATCTTCTAATGATAGTAACTGTTTCACCCTAAAAAGGAGGCAGTCTGCAGTGTGGTTAATCCTGCAACACAGCAAACTGCTGAGCAGTCAAGTTTCCAAACTTGGGCTGCCATTAATTTTGGTTTCAATTTGTCAGTAGGAGAGTCTTTAGGAACACTTCTTCCTTTAAGTTTTCTCCTGCTGTTTGCTATGGCAGAGAGAGCATAATGGTAAATGTAGAGAAAATGGTGATGTAGTAAGAAACTTGGAAATCTCTGGCCAATGAACTTACAACCAAATTGATCTTACTAGTAGAAAGTGTAAAAAGAAGATTTTAAATCTTTAAATAAGATTTTAAAAAAATAAAATTTGAATTAAATTAAAATTTGGTATTAATTTTATATAGATTTGTATAATAGGGCATAAATACCTACATTTCCACAACAGAATTCAGGAACTTGCATAATGAAAATGTTTTCCTGAGGAATCTTAATTGCCATGCATATTCCACTGGGGTTTTGCAGGTGATGCAGTTGGGAGGGCTATTTTATTGGTATCACTCCAACTGGTCTATTTTTTGACTTCTTCATCTTACTGTTCTGCTAGTAGTACTCATAGCTGCTTGTCCTCATTGATAATTGAAAGAAAAAAAGGCAGTTTCATTTTGGCCGGTTATTCTTTGTACCAATGTAATCTTCCTGATGCTTTCCTACATAACCAAGTGAAGTTCTGTGTTTTCTTCCCTGCTGTCTTCTCTGCCAATCTCCCTCCTTGCTTTTAGTCCAATTCAACATTCCGGTGCTGCACCCGCTCACTGGCTGAAGCCTTTCTGCTCTCAGGTGATTTTTTTTCCAGTTCCAAAATTACATGACTAACCCCGTTGTTTGAAAGCATTTCATTGTGTGTTTTGGGTTTTTTTTTTTTTAACTGTTGGAGCAATCTGTGTGTCTGGTATATTAACGGAGCTTTGGCATGATTATTTAACCTGTTGCTGAGTTCACAGTTCTAGAAAAAGTAATGTTTTCTCTCTGTGTCTGTGCATGTGCGCTTCCCTGTGCCTTTAAGGTAAGTCAGGCAAGTAAAGGGTTTCTTGAAAGAACTTGTTAAAGCCTTATTTCTTTCAGAGAACTGAAGGAAAGAACTAAAATAAGGTCAGGGTGTGATTACCCAGCTGATTCTCTGGGTTAACATGAGCACCTGTGTGCATGGAGCTCACACACGCAGTGAGCAAGCAGTGTCTGAGCACTTCCCTGCTTTCCTACTGGAAAAGCGTGGTATGAAAGGTTCTGTAGACAAAGTAGCCAAAGCTATGCAAGTTCTAGCCTTCCACCCCAAGTGACATCGTAGGCAGGCCTAAAAGTGCATGTGGCTCTCAGGCTGACCTGCCAGCCTGCCAGAGTGCTTTGGTTTGAGTGGTTTCATTACCTGGGCCTTGCTTGGCACTCTGATGATTGGGTTTCTCCTGCTGCACGAGACGTTGTCACCCCTCTCCATGACCAACTCCCACCGTTATTTTGTATGTATTTTTTACATAACGTCCAGTTTGTATAATCACTAGCTGACAATCTAGAAGGGGAAATGAATCCCAGTAAGAACCAGGGGCTCAGGCTGCCCAGCAAGTACACTGAAGGTCTGGCTGATGTGGTCAGGACCCAGCTGTCCCTGCCGAGGACCCCTCTCAAAGGGAAGGGCCTTTGAATGGATCTTAGGAGCAGTTTTAGGAGGGCCCAGACATCCTCTGCTATCTGCCCCATTTCACACACCTCAGCCAGGAGTGTGGAGGGCAGCACGGCCAGAGCCCCAGGCTCCTTATCTTGCTGGTCTCTATATTTGCACGACTCAGCCGATTGTATTTATTTGTGTGGGTATCCTAAAATGACTTGATGGCACTGAAAGTCCCCAGGCTGTGCCCACACAGAATCTCGCTGGGTTTCAAACATCATTTCCTGCACAAATGGCTGGGATGTGACTCCCAGTGTATTTCAGGGCTGCATTGTGTTGTTACAAAGCTCTGCATGCTTTAATATGAAGATCATGACATAAAGGTCTGCCATTTCAAACCACTTCCTATTGCTGTGTTTTTTACTCTCTGTTGCAGAGTCTTCCTTGCTCTTCCTGCCCAGTGAGGATTCTGTCCTTCTCCTCCTAAATCTTCTGTCTTCATTTTACTTTATAATCTTAACTGAGTATTTTTATTAAATAGTTTTTAACTCTGTATTTAAATTTTCACATGGAAATTCTGTATTTTGCACATGGTGAAAATTGTTTTAGCTTTATTTATGATATCTGCTGTAAACAAAAATAAATGTAGTTCTTTATAAGTCTCCTTGTTTCATCTCTTCCTTTTGTAAAGATTTCCTGGGTACAGAGACTTGGTAATGACTTCACGCTGGTTTTGCACCTTCCTCTTGTGGTGGATGCTGTGGTGCTGCCCTGCTTGTGGCCTGAGCCAGAGGCCCCAGAGTTTCACTGTGGTGGTGTCATTGCATATGTGTCCCTTGTGATGCACATCAAGGTCCCTGAGGAGCTGTCCCCTTGCTGCAGATCCAGGGTGACTGGTGCTGGGATTTACCCTTCCTGTGGGCGAGGAGCTGGTGTTGGTGGGCATGGGGCACACACAAACAGCACTGTCCTTCTTTCTTTGGCCTCTGCTACCTTTCCTTACACTGTTATTTTACATATTAACATATGTCATAAAGGTAATAATGTGTTTGGATTTTTTGTTGTGTTCAGGAAAAGCAGGTAATAACCCAGGATACTTGCTCTGTAGTGCTATTCCCAGTACCTGCTGGATCCCTGGAAGCTGAAGCTGGTGGTGACCCATTGCCTGTTAACAGTTGCCTTGCTTTATTTAATTACTTTTTAAAATTTTTATTTTAATTTTTGTATTTTAAGCTGGTGGTGGAATTCTTTTTAAACAACAGGTTCTCCAAAAGAGCTTTCTTAAGTCCTCCTCCTCTTCATTTTCTTTCTTTTGCTTACTCTGCAATTCTTAAGCTATAATCTCTTCCTTTGCATTTCAAGAAAAAAAAACCCAAAAAAACCAAAAAACCAAAACAAAACAAAAATAAAAATAAAAAAAAAAACCAAAAAAACCAAATCCCAGAAAGAATAGTCCCAGGAGTTTAATAGAAAGACTGTGTGATTTTTTTTTTTTTTTCCATTAATTAAAACTGAATCTCACTGGGGTTGTTTGAGTGACAGAAATGATTTTTAAAAAAATTGTTGCTAAAGACATCATTGCCAAAGAGGAGCAAAGGTTATTCTCAATGAATTATTCCATCTCCCTGCCAAGGGAAAAGTCACCGGGCACAGTTAAAGTTTGCTGTCTGAGGGGGAGATGATATCCATTATGAAAACATGGGCAACAAATACTGACAACAATACTTGGCACTTAATTGTAACAGACAAAGCAACTGGGGTGAAACTGAATTTGCTCTTTGCACAGTTTACAGTTTTAGGCCGAGGCAGTGACTGGGAAACATCAGAAAAGTATTTTTGCCTGCAGAAGATGATGATTTGTTTGGCACTGAAGTGTTGAGAGGCATCACATGTTCATGCTGTTCTCACAGGGTTTTTACTCATTCCTGCTAAAATATCAGTACAATAACTTGGAATTGGGGTAACATTTGAGCCTGGATTTATTTCTCCCAGAGATGCAGAAGGCCCAAGCAGTCCCATCACTAGCCAGTCCTGTCAGCAGAGGGATATGCCTTGCAGGAGACAGCCCATGCACTCGTGGACAAGGCAGGACACAGTGTCTGGGTAAGAAATAAAACAGACAGAATGATCAGCATGAGAGGAGGAAGTTTGTGTTGGTTCCCTCACTCTTGGTCAAAATTATTACACAATAAAACCACACATTCCCTGTGTTGCTGCTGGTAGTGCTGCTGAAGGAAGAGCCTGGTGGGTTGAGGTCTGTGTGAATGTAATGAGCTGGTTTGGGACTCCTTATCTTGCTGTGTGAGCAGAGCTCCCTGTGAGCAGGAGACCTGGATCTTCCTCTTGCTGTGCTCTGGAGTTCTCTGCAGAGCCGGGGTTCTGTCAGCAGTGCTCCCCAGAGCTGGGATGCTGTGTCCCTTTGCAGAGCTGCAGTTGTTGAAATGAGAGGCAGGCAGGCTGCTCCTCTGGGCTGCCCTGCCCTGGGACTGGGTCCCTCCCTAAAACCAGAGCAGGGAACACCAATGCCTCTTGGCCCAGTTAATGCCCTCTGAGACCTATGTCACAGATGCCTTTCCAGCACGAAAAGGGCAGAGGTGGTGCTGGCAGGCTCAGGAACTGCTCTCTTTCCTCCTCTGTAAGCTGCTTCAAATGGGTTCTGAGCTTGTCTGTTGCCACAAGCGCCATTTGGATTGAAAATAAGTACAGGGATGTGCCTATTTTCTTTATTAAATTTCTTTTTTTTGAAAAGCCAGGCTAACCTTTCATCCTCAAAGCCAAGCAGCGTTAACTGCCTAGGTGTCTGTTAATGAAAATCAAACATGTCAGCATCCACTAAAGGTAACCCACCTTTATTATAATTATGCTAAGCCTTTAAAATTAAAAAGATCTCGCAGGTTTTAAGCATACTTGATTTGAATACAAGAATACAGACAAAACTTCTTAAAATTGCTCAAACACCAGCCTTTCATTAACTCTACCAAGAAGAGTAATTTCTGTTCCTCTTGAGTTTCTTCTAAATTGCTACAGCTGTAAAATGCCAGTGAAAGTTGCTTCTGTGTGTATTCCAACCTCAAGCAAAGACTACGATCTGCATTTTTCCACAGCATTATGGCAATTAGTTACTATAATTGGCTTTAATTCAGTTCTGGCTCACTCATTTCTCACATTCCAATCAAAACATTGAGTTTTGAAATGCACTGAGTTCTGCATTAATATTTATGTTTTCAAAGACATGATGTGTTTGCAGATGACTTGATTTTTTTTGCCTGAAAGATCATGTCACTGAAGATAAGAAGACATTATGTATTAATGCCTGATGCAAGTATATGTATCAGTCATGTAAATACTTCCCCAAGTCTCTTTCCTTTCCTTCATGAACTGTGCTCACACAAAAAGAAGGGAGGCTTTAATCTCTTCAGGTGGTGGGCTCCAAACTTGTTTGAAATGGATGGAATTTCTGAAATGTTTTTTTGAAATGTGAAATGATGAAATTTCCATGTAGCTGCAGTATTGAATTTGCCCTTTCAGCATTTGTTCTGCAGGTATTCATTCATTCATGTCTTTGTTTTAAGGTTTTTGGTGCTTTGAATCTGTGTCCAAAAATACTATTTTGACAGACACTGGAAACTGAAAGTGTTGTTGCTGCACTCCAAAATCATAATTAATACATGCCTTAATATACCAGACTAACACAGATTGCTCTAATTAAATATATATTTACTCTCAAATGATAGAAATAGTGTGCTATCATAGCAGCTTTTGTTTGAGAATCAATTTTTCCTAAAGGCACATATTCAGTATATCTAATAGGTTTCCTCTAAGTTTATTTTTTTTCTCCTTTGTTAATTTTTGTTCAGTTTGTATTAGCACATAAATGTGCACTGTCCCCTCAGATCCATTAAAAAATCATGGAAGTCTCTGGCTGGCTTTGAGAGCTTCAAATTCCATGGCTTTATTTTGTGCCAGAATTCAGAAGTGTTTGTTTACACAGTAGGTGATGGAGACTTGGAGAAAGTGTTTTGCTGCTGAAGAACTTGTGTAGGTGCTGGCATGGGCTCACATGAGAGTGGGAGAAGATGATCTCCTGGCACAGGGACAAGAGGAGGGGGCTCATCCCTGCATCAGGGATGGAGAAGCGATGGCAGGAAAGCCTCTGTAGGCAGTGGTGTTGGAAGGCAGGAAGGTGACCTGGTCCTGCTGCCCCAGGAAGCTCAGTGCCACCCCATGGATAACGGGAGCAGCAGTTCCCTTCACTCTCTGCCACGTGTTAGCCACAACAAAGTGGAAATTGCTTCTGTTGGAAGTGTGAGGAGGAAGAAGGGGAGATGTGGCAAGAACTGAAATCTGTGAAATGTCAGCCATCATTCCTTTTGTAGGAATCCTTTTCCAAGGGCAAAAACCTACCTGGTGGTATCTCAGGTGAGATGAAAAGTCGAAGCTGGGACAGGGCATCGGTTTGGGAATGCTGCTGGAAGCCTGACAGGCTCCTAAGGCAGATCTGTGGGATACCTCAGTGGGATGTCTTCATTCAGTTTCCAGCTCTGGCACAGGCAGTCCTCCCATGCAGCCTTGTGTGCTTTGAGCTCAGGCTGCAGGATGCAACTGAGGCTCTGACAGGTCTGAGCTTGGGTTTCACTCCTGTGGGCTGCTGAGCCCTGTATTTCAGCAGCACCAAGGTCTAACCAAGCTGGAGGAGTTTTCCCATCCCCTCTGCCAGTCTCACAGGGCTGTGCTTTCCTGGACAGTGCTTTCTGCTCGGGGTCTTGCCCCCGAGCTCAGCGGGTTCATTTCAGCTGTGCTTGCACAGCTCTGGTGTTACCACACCTTCCTTCTGTCCCCACGGCTTTCCTGAAGCACTGCTGTTTTGTAAGCTGGACTCGGGTTGGTTTTTCTTTTATTGCACAGTAAGAAGTCAGGCAGTAAAGCGGGCTGGGTGTGCTACAGATCAATTTGTGGTCTGCTGAGTTTCCTAATGCTGTTTTTTGATGCCAGCTGGTGTTTGCTTTCAGCATCAGAGCTGCCCACGTTTGTGAGTAACTCCACTTTAGAATTGCCCACTGCTGTCAGAGCCTGAGTCAGCAGCTCCATACAAGGCCAGGCAGGGTGCACTTGCCCTGTGAATGAGTGATGAGGTGACACAGTGTCATGGCAGGCCAAGAGCCTCAGGATTGCCAGCCGGGAATGCAGGGTGCCAGTTGGGCCGGAGCCTTGAATGCGGGCCCTGTGCTGCGTGGGGCAGCTGCACAGCAGGGAGGGCGAGCCCCCTGCCAGCCCTGGGTGCCGGGCACCCACACCCCGCTGACCAGAGCAGCACTCAGGATTTTGGTGACACCTTTCACCTGAGGACCAGAAAGCCCTGTGCCAGTCCTGAGTGGCTGGGGCTGTTTTGGGTAAGTACTGCTGTGCTGTTCCTGCTTCACAGCCCCCAGGGTGTGCAACAGGCGGCAAAACATCACATGCTCGCTGCAGGTTGGGACAGCTAATTGCAGGAGGTTTCATTCTTCCTCCCTATCCCCCAAACAGGGCCCACAAGGAATTGTTCCTTGTCTGCTCTTCCATAGCTGTGGAGCAGGGGTGGAGCTGTCTGCCCTCACAGCAAGACAGCTGTGGCAGGGTCCCCTTTCACACCAGCAGCAGGGAGGGATAATTTCTTGTCCCCTCT